GCGCGAAGTCGCGAGAAACAAAGGCAAGGCCGTGGATTTCTTTCACGGGTGAAGGAGGGAAAAGAGCCGCTATCAGGAACAAATAATGACCACGTATGCTAATCTTAAGTATCACAGATCGGCCGTTTATTCACTAGAAGCTGATACAGTAGCCAAACGTAAATGGCCGAGAGATTTTGCGCTTTTCGTTGACGCTCGAATTACCGGGAGAGAGAGAGAGAGAAAAATGACGGTGCGCTCGCATTCCTAAACTCGCACGCTCGCGTACAATGAGGTGACTTACTTCGCTTGTGAGAAAAACGACCTCGAGGACGACACTGCAGCTGGCTATTTTTCGGGCTCCTGAGCGCTCTCGTTGAACGATCGCCCCATTCGCTCTTCTACGGTGCCCGGGTGGCGCTGGACAATTTGCCCTTGAAGATCCGCTGCGGTGCGGCGAGCTTTTCCTTTTCTTGTTTTCGGTCACTGCACGCACCCACTGACACCCCGGGGAAACTCGCAGTGCCTGTCGTCCTAGTCTAGTCCGTGTACTTTTTCACGGATTCTCACTCTCACCACGTAAATCGACGTGTCACCCAAACTTTTCTGTTGTCCTTGTCAAACGGTTCTTCTAATCGCTGACTCGCGCAAAACATGCGTATCTCAGCTCGGCTAAACTAAGAGTCCCCTGCGCCGCTCTCCCCCTTCCCCTCTCGCGCCTGGCTTCTCGCCGCATGTTCGGTACCTTTCCGCTTATCGCACGCGCTCTTTCACTCTCTTTCTTTCTCGTTCTTGGGCTGCTCTCTGCAGCCCGATGGCATTGTGTGTCAACTTGCCATCGGTAGCGCGACTTTTTAATCCTTAACGAGCGCATCCTCCACAGAATATTTAAATACACATATTCTGTGACGGCGCTCGTTACAATATATTTATTATAATTAGTATAAAATGAATTTTTGCTGTTCAGCGTGTGTGTGTGTGTGTGTATGTGCGTGTGTGACTCACCTACCGAAAATGGTTTAATAAAAAAAAGTGGAAGTACCTGTGAAGACCAAGATGAAAAAAATGCAGCACATAATCTTGCTTACTTTCTTTTATTTGTAGCCTTCGTGGTTGTAGGCTACTATAAATAGCACAACGTAAGAATTATTGAATCATTCATCAACTAGTATTCCAATAAAATGGATCGTTACCCTAAAGTAAAGTACGTGTACTCTCGTCTTCCACAAGAAGACCCGGACGAAAAGAAAAACAAACAATCATCAACATGAAAACAAACTATTTCCAAATTTTCGAGCAATACTAATAATTTATCGGGGCAAAAAGGCTATCAGCAGTTCAATAACGAAAAGAAAAATTAATATTATATGTATACATGTCATCATTATACACCACCTCAACTACAATAACCCTTAACTTGCACACCTCATTTTGGCCACGTAACTGCTCGGTGGGGTAAATCTACCCCAGCCCGAAAAACTTCGAATAAATCAGAGAATTTTCGATATTTTGCTATGAAAGTTTTTTCTAGTATATTTCAAACCTTTTACTACAAAAAAAAATATTCAGGTTAACAATTTTTAATGTTACACACACTGAAAAAAAATTGTTGAAAAAAAAAAATAAATTTTATTTATTGTTAAAAATTGTCTGGAGTAAATTTACCCAACATAGCAGTTAAGGGTTAAATAAACATTATTTTTCATCTAGATTCTATGTTGTATAAATTATTTTTATTGATAAAAAAAATACAAAATTTATTATAAAAAGATGAACTGCTGCTGCTGTCGTCGTTAGAGTCAGCGAAGAATTTCGCTTTTTTTTTGGATGGTTTAATAAAAAATGAAAGAATATTTTGTTTGTATCAATTAAAAAAAATTTTTTATTGATAAAAAAATATATCTTATTCTATATGTTCTTAAAAAATACATGTTATTCTACAAATTATCTACTTACAAAAAAACAAAATCACTATATAAATCCTTCAACGAATTCATCGCTCTCTTCCCAATCTATACAACAGACATCGATGTACAACTTTTTCATTAAATTAACATTTTGATGTGCTCATGTCGTTACGTTTTTGCCGTTATGTCTAGGACATACGCTAACTGATTTTAATTTTTTGAAAGGTGAATAGCCCCAATTATTCAAATTGAAAACTTTGAGGCCATGTCGTTCTAACCACTTTATTTTCAGATCTCCGGAAACGAAAACTTTTGTGGCACCTTTGAGTGTATCTGTGATGATGAATTTATGCCCTTCGTATTTAAAATCACCAGAGTTCTATGTTAATCCATAATATCGAAAGGGTTTTGATTGTTTTGTTATAAATATTGTTAGGGGTGAGTATGAGAAATAATAATAGATTGTTAAATTCGATACTTTTTCAGATTGGTATTTATTTCTTCAAATTGACAAAGACTTTCGCGTGGCTAGTAGCGATTAAAGGGCGATCTGCTCGTTTTTGTCCAAAAATTGTTCTGGTGCCTGGTTGATGCGACATGGTTTACGCCCCCGTTTCCCTTTCCTTCTCCATTCTGTCTTCCACTTTTCTTGTCGTTTGCCTGTTGTTCAAATTCATCTCTCTCTCTCTCTCTCTCTCGTCGGCCTGTCAGCCTAGGGGAGCCTCTGTGCCGGCCCTAGTTGTTCATTTTATGACCCGACAATACCCGGAAACCTCTGGTAAAACCATCGGTTTCCCGTGGGGTCTAACTACCTCCAGGGACTTATCCCTCGGAGTAGTATAGTGGTGTCCAGCGACGATACGCAGACCTTGCGCACGCCCGCGGTCATTGGCGAGAGCGAGTTTTATAGGGATGAGCTGAAATAAGAAGGCCCAAACGGACAAGGAGCCTTTTTTGTCGCTGCTTAGCCTTACAATTCTCGGCAATTTATTTTACATATGTCCGGTGTCTGTCCTAAACGTGTACAATTCCGCGGATTTCTTCGTTCCCTATTTTGCGACGAACAAACACAATAACCCGACAAAAACGAGAGTAAATATGAGGTAATTTATTGACGGGGTAGATCAGCGTCGATGTAGCACACCTGAGGAACAGATGCGGCTCGTCGACCCTGTCTTACGGCTAACGACGGGACCCCGGGACCATTTTTTATTGTACTCGCGCTCACCCGCTTGTTTTCTTCTTCCTCTTCCTTATAGATATAAAGAGAGAGGAAGAGAGAGAGACGAAGCGATGTTCGACCGTCGTTTACAACCTCCCCCCGGTCTAAGAATTGATGAAATTTTAGATCTATTCCGACGGTCCGAATATTTTGATTAGTTTATTTACTGGGCGGACGTATTCTTTCTTTCCGGAACGGATCTTTACGACTCGAACTACGTTATCGGAAGTATTGGGGAATACTTCCACTACCTTACCCTTTCGCCAAGTGCTTCGCGGTATTTGGTAATCGGTAATGATGACGATATCTCCTAGTTGTAAAGCTGGAATCTCGACGTTCCACTTTTGTCGCGGCATCAAGATAGGTAAGTACTCGCGTAGCCAGCGCTTCCAAAACCCGTTCGCAAATTGCTGAGCTAGCTCGAAGTTCTTACGCGGGCTAAAGGTCTGCACTTCGTATTTCTCGAACTGTAGGTGACCCGAGGATTCGCCGATTAGAAAATGGTTCGGTGTTAACGCTTTGTCATCTGCAGGATCGACAGAGACGTGAGTCAGAGGGCGGGAGTTTACCATGTGCTCGACCTCTACAAATAGTGTTTGGGGAACCTCTTCTGACGGCGCCTGTTCGTTGAGCGTGTGAGCTAAAGCTACTTTGACGGATCGGACAAGACGTTCCCATGCTCCCCCCATGTGCGCTGCGCCCGGTGGGTTAAAATGCCATTGAAAACGATTAGTATGTGCGAATTCCTTCTGTCTTTCTTTGTCGATGCTCGCGATCGCGTCCTTTAATTCCTTGCTTGCTCGGACGAAATTAGTGCCGTTGTCGGAATAGATTTCTCGCGGGAAACCCCGTCTTCCGGCCAATCGCTGAACGGCCATGATTGCTGAACTCGCGCTGAGCGTATGCGCTAATTCGAGGTGTATTGCGCGTGTTGTCATACACGTGAATAGCGCACCCCAGCGTTTCTTCCTCCGTCTACCTATTTTCACAAGTATCAGACCAAAGTAATCCATGCCGCAATGGGTGAACGGTCTTTCTCGGTACGCGAGGCGACTCTTAGGTAGATCGGCCATCGGAGGATTTTCCGGTTTGGCGCGGCGTAAACGACATATTACACAGTTTTTTGCGAGCCAGCGTAGTCTCGAACGAAGTCCGACTATATGAAATTGTTGTCGCAGCTCGTTTATTACTGTCTCATTGTTCGCGTGTTTGTATCGTCGGTGATACGCGGCAATTAGCAATTTTGTCGCGAAGTGATCCGAGTCGAGAATGACCGGTCTATTTTGGAACGGCGCGGACGAGAATTTCCCGACGCGCCCCTTCGCTCGTAATACTCCTTCCTCATCTACGTATGGCTTCAAACCTATCAGTTTACTTCCTCTAAAAATCTCATCATTTCTTTTTAGCGCTCGTAATTCCCTAGGGAAACATTCTGCTTGTATGAGACGATACCATGCTTTCTCGGCTTCTACTACTTTGGTGAGAGCTGATTCTTCGCGTAATTTTAACGCGGGTGATATTCGGATCGCGTGTTTTCGTTTGTTATCCCTGTTCAGACGAGTTTGACTGTCTGCTTGTCGTTTAAACATTTTACCATACCATTCGTAGAAGCAAATTCTCGCTCGATCCATTGCATTAACGATTCGATTCCAACCTAGAATTGTAATTTTTGCCGGTAAGAAACTACTTTTAGGGTCTTTAGCGAGTGTCGCACCAACGTATTCGCATCGCGTTTCAAGTTGATCGATTTCTCGTTTGTCGATGTTTCCCAGAGCTTTCTCTACTGGCCACGCATTAGACGATTCGCGAAGGAAATCTGGCCCTATCAACCACCTATCTTCCGTATGCATCGGCTGGTCGGACGGTCGCGTTGCGTCGTCGGCGGGATTTAGTTATGTCGGTACCCATCGCCATTCGGTTGTTTTCGTTAGTTCGCCTATTTCTCCTAATCGGTTTGCCACTAACATCTGTTTGCTCCTCGAGTTGCTCCTAATCCAGTGTAAAACGGTTGTCGAATCAGACCAGAAAATGGGTCGATTGATTTTCAGCTCTAGTTCCGTCTCGATAACTCCAGCTATTCGTGATCCAAGCAAGGCGGCTTGTAGTTCGAGTCGCGGTATTGTCATAGGTTTTTTAGGCGCAACGCGTGATTTCGACATGAGCAGCGATAAGTGCACATTTCCGTCGAGTGTTTCTGACCGCAAATAGGCAACCGCTGCATAGGCCTTCAGGCTTGCGTCGCAAAAAATGTGTAGTTGTATGTCTGAGTAATCTGACGTCTTGGTTATGTAACATCGCGATATTTTGCACTGCTTCATTGCTACGAGATTGTCCAGTCACTTTGACAATGCCTTAAAATCCTCGTTCGAGATTCGCGTGTCCCAATTAATTCCGCTTCTCCAGACATCTTGCATAATCAGCTTCGCTTGTAATGTAAACGGCGCGATAAGCCCGAGTGGATCGTACACGGACATTGCAATTCCGAAGAATTGGCGTTTCGTCGGCCGTTCTTTTCCTTGTCGTATTTCCAAGCGAACTTTATTTAGACTGATGTTGATTCTAAAGGTGTCCTTGCTACAGTCCCAATAGAGGCCTAAAACCTTTTCTTCGTCGTTGCAGAGGTTTGCCTGTTCTCTTCTACCTAATCTATTATTATCGAGTACATCCGCGACAACGCTTGGTTCATTCGACGCCCATCCGTGCATGTGAAAGTTGGCCTCCTTGTTTATTTCGATTACATCGCGAACACGTTCTCGCATTTCTTCGACGGACTTCCCGGATGCCAAATAATCATCCATATAACTATTTTCTATTATACTCTTCACGGATTCGGGTTTCGAGTCCGAGAATTGTCGTGCGTTCCGATTTTTTATGTATATAGCGCTAGTTGGAGACAATGTCGCTCCGAAAATCAAGCCTGTACTCTCCCACGTCTCTGGCGTGCAAGTACGATCTCTACCACGCCACAAGAAGCTCAAAGCGCCGCGATCTCGCTCTATTACTTTAATTCTGAGGAACATATCTTTGATATCCCCTTTTACAGCGACAGGAAATTGACGAAAACGGAGTAGCACACCAAGCAGTGACTTTAACAAATCCGGGCCGGGTTCCAGTAACGAATTAAGCGATATACTGTTTGTCGTTGCAGCCGCGTCATGTACTATGCGAGTTCTCCCGGGTTTGTTCGCATTTTCCACGCCATGATGCAGTAGGTACCATCTCCTCGGTCTCTTGACGTGTTTTTCGAACTTTTCCGCGTACCCGTTTGCAATGAATCGCTCCATCTCGGCGTAATATCGTTCTGCGAATTCCGGATTCCTGTCGAGCTTTCTTTCAAGCGCATACAGCCGTTTGAGCGCTGTCGCCTTACTATTTACGTCCAGCATCAAACCCGATTTCCAGAGCAAACCTGTTTCCCATTCGCAACCCCTTTTTCGTGAAGTCGCCTCTAAGATCGCCCATGCGCGTTCATTCTTTACATCCTTTTGGTCCAGTTTCACCACGCCAAGATTCTCTAACTCTAGATAGTTCCTAATTTGTTGCTCAAGTTCCGCGGATCTTTCGGGTTTATCTTCGATAACACACGTGGTTGTAACCGACGTGATGATATCCGTGCCTTCCCGGTCCTCGACGTACCGTGTACCGACCAGCCGAGTAGTGAGTGCGTCGCGATAAGACCCTTTCCATCTAATTTCCTTACATCGTCGCTCTCTAATAGGCGCCAGTTGTCTTGTCCGATCAAAATGTGCAGGGGCGCGTCGTGATAGGGTAATATTTCTATATTTTCCTTTTCTCGCACGCGTCGGGCGAGTTCCTTCGACAGTGATTGTAGCGGCAGGTTCAGTGATGGGATGATAAGCGCGTGTTCGATTTGTTGCTCTCCAAACGACCCTACAACGGTTAAACTGACGCGTTCGCATTTAACGTGGTTTTGGCCCCCGTATAAGCCTTGTAACGATGTCTCAAATACTCTTCCCTTTATTCCGAGTCGTCGTGCAAATCGCGAGTCAATAAGTGTGACGGTGGAGCCTCCATCCAACAGAGCGTGCGTGACGAGCTCGCTTCTCGGTCCTTTAACGCGCAACGGCACTACGCGTAAAAGTCCCCTTCGCACGGTTAGTCATTCCCTTCGTGTGGACGACGCTTGGTCTCGCGCGCGCGAAACGTCGTGGCTTCTTTCCTTATCGCGTCGTTGGTCATTTGTTCCCCGTCGAATCTTGAGATGTCACGGGCTTCTCGGTGTTCTGAGTAACGACGCCTATCTCTTGACCCTAAAAAACTACATTGTTCCTTGCGATTCGAACGTTCACGCTCGTCCCAGCGATCAACTTGGTCTCGATTGTCGCTCCGATTGTGGAAGTGTAAGAGGGTATGGTGGTGCTTGCGGCACACATCACAGACGGTCCTGGAGCTACATTCTGATCGTAAGTGCCCGTTCTCGAAACACTTGTAGCAAACCCCCATCTTCTTAGCTAAAAACCACCGACGCTTCGTGCTTTCATGTAAGAAATCGCGACATTCTCTCACACGATGACTGCGTCTACCGCAATAGCCACATTTGTCCGATGAATCGACAGTTGTTCCGTCATCTTTCTCGCCTACTAGGTCGACCGCCGCACAGACGATACCGCCTCTCGCACCTTTCGTCAACTTCTTTGAAGTGCCGTCGTCATTGGCAGAAGTATCGATGTCAAATACGCCCGCACGTATGTTGAGCTCCGACTCTCTCGCCATGAATTTCGCTAACTTCTCTAACGGCGATAGATCACCATGTTCACGGAGTTCCTCCTTCGCAAACCGATTGAAAGCTGATTGTAGCGACTCCGGTATTTTCTTGGCTACACTAGATAATAAATCGAGGCTATAGAGATATCCGCTCGGCTTGAGAATTTTGAAGGCATCGACGTCGCTCTTCAATTGTGTTGCGAACAACGCTAAACCTTTCATGCTTGTTTTCAAACTCGGTAAGCTATGCAGATCTCTGACGATATCTGCAGCGATGAGCAAAGATTGGCCAAAATGGTTCTCTAATTCGCGTATGACATCTCTCGGGTTATCGCTCGTTGCTAAGAGCGTCCTCACAAGTTCGTAGGCCTTGCCCTTTAACGCTTTGTCAAGCCGTCCGATATTCCGACGATCGCTAAAGCTAGCTTCCGATTCAGCGTACATTTTGGCGAAGTGCATCCATTGTAGGGGTTTTCCCGAGAATTCCGGTAACTTTTTATCAAAGTCTACGTTTTTAGAAGCTGGCGAACTCCTACCATCTGCAGCGCCTTCGCGGATCGCGTTCATCGTGTTAATCAATGTTTGTGACAATAGTAATATCGCATTTTCTATCGGATTCGATTGTGCGCTCGCATGTTCTCTTAACACAGTACCTAACTGATCGCCGTCGACTTGTCTTCCATTGGTGTTGGTTGTTCCTTCTCTCAGCTGTTCGTCGATGAATGATGCTGGCTCGATGACGTTGATCTCGGATTCGGTTGGGGAGCTCATCAGTGATCTCTCAGACTGCGGTGTTTGTTCTTGACGTTGACCGCGCGGTCCCTTCCGCGATCTCAGTAATACCTGCTCTGCCTGTTTCACGGCTGGTGTTACACGGGTTTGTACTACTCTCTTCGGCTGCTTGGCTGGAGCTGGTTGTGTAACAATCATCTCATGGTAGTCTTCTCTAACCCGTCGTTGTTTCTTTGGGGCCTCATCGTTGACCGTTGTTGGCGTGTGACGCTTCCTCGGGGCCATTGTTGATAAGAGGCACAATATAAATCACTTCTATCTTCTTTATCGTAAACTTTAACACTTATTATTATTTCTTTAGTTTAATCGAGTTCCTCACCCGGGGCACCAAATGTTAGGGGTGAGTATGAGAAATAATAATAGATTGTTAAATTCGATACTTTTTCAGATTGGTATTTATTTCTTCACATTGACAAAGACTTTCGCGTGGCTAGTAGCGACTAAAGGGCGACCTGCTCGTTTTTGTCCAAAAATTGTTCTGGTGCCTGGTTGATGCGACATGGTTTACGCCCCCGTTTCCCTTTCCTTCTCCATTCTGTCTTCCACTTTTCTTGTCGTTTGCCTGTTGTTCAAATTCATCTCTCTCTCTCTCTCTCTCTCGCCAGCCTGTCAGCCTAGGGGAGCCTCTGTGCCGGCCCTAGTTGTTCATTTTATGACCCGACAATACCCGGAAACCTCTGGTAAAACCATCGGTTTCACGTGGGATCTAACTACCTCCAGGGACTCATCCCTCGGAGTAGTATAGTGGTGTCCGGCGACGATACGCAGACCTTCCGCACGCCCGCGGTCATTGGCGAGAGCGAGTTTTATAGGGATGAGCTGAAATAAGAAGGCCCAAACGGACAAGGAGCCTTTTATGTCGCTGCTTAGCCTTACAATTCTCGGCAATTTATTTTACATATGTCCGGTGTCTGTCCTAAACGTGTACAATTCCGCGGATTTCTTCATTCCCTATTTTGCGACGAACAAACACAATAACCCGACAAAAACGAGAGTAAATATGAGGTAATTTATTGACGGGGTAGATCAGCGTCGATGTAACACACCTGAGGAACAGATGCGGCTCGTCGACCCTGTCTTACCGCTAACGACGGGACCCCGGGACCATTTTTTATTGTACTCGCGCTCACCCGCTTGTTTTCTTCTTCCTCTTCCTTATAGATATAAAAAGAGAGGAAGAGAGAGAGAGACGAAGCGATGTTCGACCGTCGTTTACAACCTCCCCCCGGTCTAAGAATTGATGAAATTTTAGATCTATTCCGACAGTCCGAATATTCGGTTCCGCGGGGCTCGTCCGAATCCCTTACTGCCGTAGGTTTCTTCGAAAAGAAACCGTAGGTGTAAGTGACCGTGGTGGGCTTCTTCGAATATGTAGTCCATCAGCTGGTGGTAACTCCAGCCTCGCTGTTCTCCCATGGCTGCGTTAGCTTGTCCATGGTGGTTGTTGATGTCCGGGCTGTTTGAATTTCATCTGGTATCCAGGCCCTTTTTGCCCGTTTATGCGGTGGACCGAGTGCGGTAGTTGCGGTGCGCTTCATTGTGCTGATGATCTTTTTTATTCTTTTTTTAGAAAGTGGAGAGTGGTGGTGGATTGTTTTTTCTTTCGGATTCTAGGTGTGGGATTACTTGTACGGCTATGGGTAGGGAGTGAGGAGTGTCGTAGTTGATTGGTGGCATAAAATATTTTCCGTCAAGTAACGTTTGTGCAGATTTGCAGATCATTCTTATTTGATGGTTTAAGGGCTGATTCAACTCTTGCTTCGGTATATTTTCGAGTTTATAACTTTTGTTACTGCACACTCTATATGTAGTACGCCACCTACTGCTATTACGGATGCAATAACGATTATGATGGTTACACCTAACGCTAAATACGCGTGTAATAGTTTCACTTGTTCCGAGCGTTCGTATTTGTTCTGATTATTATTTATTTTTGAGTTTTTCATTATTATTTTGTTTGTAGATAACAGTGAATCACAAAATTTTCTGCCCTTACTTTTTTCTTAGCTCCCAAATAAATATGATGGTCTGTTCTAAGTTCGCACAACTGGGGAATCTGTATTATTCCAGTGCCACTAAAGAACATAGGCTATATTATGCCGTTACAATTTACGTTGAAAGAAGTGTTGAAAGCAACAGAGTATAATAAAACATTATTTTGTAATGTCGGTATAAGTTGGGCGCGGGAACAGGTAAAATGAAAAAATACGTTCACACTCGTTATCAACGAAATTCTCACTTACAAAAGCATGGATAGTTTCTCCCTTTGTTACAGTCAAGTAATCACTTTGTGGTCTAATAAATTTAACGACTCGGTTAGTTTCATTAAAATACTGAAATAATGGTAGTCAATATAATTTGAAACTCTGCGTATTGTTGCTTGTGTCAAGGGGAAAAATTACTTCGACAATAATGTTCTTACGAAAGTAAACTACGTTAATTTCTGCAATTTGTTGTAGTGTTATGATATTAATTTTTGACATATGTATTGGTAACCTTGAATTAGTAATTGCCCTGATAGTTTTTAGTGCATTTAGCAAAAATTGCAGATTAAAAGAAAATTGTTTGTTTTACAGCAGTTGACGTACTTCGTTTGATATGTAAATAAATTTATGTAACATGTCGTGAATTTCAGCTAAACTAAGGCTAATGTGTGTAGAATTATACACTGGGCTCATTGCGCTTGTAATGAAATCTGCGCGAGCTTTTCTAAAAAACAAAAGATTTATTTCTGATTGTAAATTATTTTCTGTGATGTAAGATAAGTCATACTCGCCCATGTGTTCAGTTATATTACTCTCGCGCATATACAAAACATCTTCAAGAGCCTTGTCGGAATGTTCGGGTAAGAGGCTATCTGGCGATGCTAGGGCATTCCACCCCCCGTTGGGTGTGTCAAAAGCGTATGCGTTCAGAGAAGTGTTTATTGCTTCGTTGACATGTTCAAGTTTTTTTGTTTCTTCGTAGGCTATGTATATAGAATTTTTGATGAAATCGTTTATTTCGATTGTCTTGCAAGCTGTAGATATTTTTTCCAGTGTTTGGGTGAAGTTGTAATGTGAGTTAAGTACTAAGTTGACGTCAAGAGCGGTGATAATATTCCATTTTTCTTGAATAAATCGTATGCTAGGTCCTTTTTCAAAAGTAATTCCAGGTTGACTATCATACTGATTTGTAGTTGGCTGGTTTTTGCATATAACAGTAGTTTGTAGACTGATGAAAAATGCCTTGGGTAACAGCATTTTGCTAGTATTAGCTGGAAGAGTTGTTGTTATTAAACTTTTTGTCTTGCGTTGACAGCAATTTTGTTGAAAAGCTCAATCCATTCCCAATTCTCTATTTGGTCAAAAATATTTATTAGCGTGGTTGGGGAGGTGTTGTTATTTCTACGGAACAGGAGTGGTGCCACTCATGGGAACGTGTCTGAAGGATCATTAGTATTAGGTTTGAGTAGCTCGCTGAGTATTGTTGTATTTTTATCTCGGACGTCAGTGCTTTTTGCGTGATGATAACTAGTGGTGTGATGTGTTTGTTTAGGATCATTGTATTTCTCAAAGATGCCTCTTATCTCTGCTATATACTTTATGGCTATGTGTAAATAGTTAGAGTAGTGTTCGTGAAATTCTTTTTAAAGAATGAGAATGTTTTTTGTTCGGAAAGGTAAAAGACTGCCTATGTCGAGTGGTTTAGGAAATGTGTCTAGGGTAATTTAAGGTCGGGGTACTGTCGGATGACATGATGTATGCAGTCTGTGCATTTAATGCATCGTATGGCTTATAGAAAGGAAAAAGGCAAACGTAACATCTGATTTCGTATTTGAGGCCCTTAATAAAAACGTATATAGCTAATTTTTCTCACTGAGTTTCGTTTTCTGTGACTTCTAATAAGAACATTTGCGCGGCCTTTCCCATGACCATGTATTTTTGTAAATATATGTTTATTCTGAGTTCAAATTCCATTGCGGTTTCTTCCGGCATTTGTGTTGATATACTTAGTCTCTTTTTTTCTATTATTAAGTCTTCAAGTAATTTTCTTTTGGTTCTGTGATCCATGTTGTTAGACATACAGTTATTGTTGATTTTTATGTTCTGTTGATTAACAGTGGAATTTCTGGTTCCGATAGTACTGTTTCTGTGTGTAGCTTGGTTTCTCTGACTTAAGCTGGGTCAGTTGATCGTCACGTTCAATTTTAAAGATAGCGGTTCGTTCTTCGAGCTGTGTTGCCGGCCCGGCTTCTTGTTGAGCTTGTCCGTGTTTGTTTCTCTTTCAGGTTTCCTAGCTAGGTAAAGTAGTAAGTTAGTTAAAGAGTTCCAGAATACGCCAAGCAGGTGTATGATAAAGCCATAGAGGGAATGAAGGGCATAACCATGTACGAGGTGTGTTCAAAAAGTAAGGTGACTTTTCAAAGTTCACGGGCAACGTACTTTCGATTATCGATTTTTTTATTTTGTTATGTTGGTACACTCTTCCCGAACATCTGTACCAAGTTTCAAGTGTATAGCATTTTTTATTTGGTTGTGAGAGGCGTAAAGATTATAAGTGTTTTGCGTGCTCGGCGATTTCTTGCTATCGAAAAATATGGATCAAAGGATTTGCATCAAATTTTGTGTAAAAAATAAAATAAAGTGCTCCGAAACACTTGAAATCTTGACGGTGGCATACGGTGAAACTGTTCTGAGTAAAAAAAATGTTTACAAGTGGTACAAACTTTTCCAAGATGGCCGGGAAGATGCCAATGACGAGCCTCGCTCTGGACGCCCAAGCACATCAACAACTGATGAAAACGTTCAAGCAGTGAAGAAAATTGTTCTGGAAAATCGTCGAACCACTATCAGAGAAGTTGCTGAGGATGTTGGTATATCGCTTGGCTCGTGCCATGAAATTTTTTCTAACGTTTTGGGCATGAGACGTGTGTCAGCGAAGTTTATTCCGAAATTGCTAAATTTTGACCAAAAGAACAGTCGCATGAGCATCGCTCAAGAACTGTTGAATGACGTCAACGACGACCTAGATTTACTCAAAAGGTTTACTCAACTGGTGACGAATCATGGGTATATGGTTATGATATCGAAACCAAAGTCCAATCGTTCCAATGGAAGAGCCCAGATGAGCCAAGACCGAAAAAAGCACGCCAAGTTTGATCAAATGTCAAAGTTTTGCTCACTGTTTTCTTCGATTACCATGGCGTGGTGCATCAGAAGTTCTTACCATATGGACGTACGGTC